GTGGGGGACTTAAAACAAATGTCCAAGCAGAAAGAGGGCAAAGCCCTTGGGTTGGCTGTGGAGGCTGCAGGGTCTCCTTTGTGTCCTTTGAAAGGAGCTGAGCAAACACTTAGGGAATGGCATTATGTCTCAGAGATGGAGAGCTGATCTAAGCAGAGCAACAAAGTGACTGTCAGTAATTTCATCATTAAGGCTGTGTTTAGATAAGTTTGTTCAGTTCAGTGACAATCTTTAAAATGGGGTCTGGCTAAAACTTTGGAGGTTCTTACAAGAGGTATCTTTTGTCCTTACTTAGTTCTTGAAATTGTATTTTGTATAGCAAACAAATGACATTGTGGCAGCTTTTTTAACATTTTGATGGAGCGCTGGCCAGTGAGCAATTGAGAGGAAAAAGTCTGCCCATACATATTTCAAGGCTATGAGTTGGCAGGGAGCTAAAGCAGCTTCTCAGGTGATGGTCACCCCATCCACGTAAAAGGAGGTTATTGTGTTCTGTTTAGTGGATACCAAACAGGAATGAAAATATTAAATCACTGTTGTTTGGGCTTTGTTCCATCTTTTGGACTTGTGTCTAAGGTCAGAGATTAGCATCTCCCTCCTCCTATCTTGCAGTGGGCTATAGAGATGCTCTGATTTTGTGCAAAGGCATCTGATACGCAGCCAGATGCTCATTGCCTTGAAACATTTTGAACTCTTTCCAAATGCTTAAGATCCAAAAAGGCCTGGAGCCTACATCCTCTGCAAGGCAAGATGTAGCTGTTAAAATGTTAGTGACTGTTCATGGTGAGTATGTGATGAAGTTGCATTTTGAAAGCTCCTGTTTAATATTTTTTCCTTTTCCATATAAGATTTTGTGTATTCCCTTTTGAAGAGAACATAACACTTGTAAGGAGACAAACCATTTTTTTTTAAGGTGAGCTTACAGGAATGATAGTTGAAGTTACCTTCTCTGGAAGATGATGGCTTAGGTAGGTGCTGTCATGATTAAAGTGTTGTATTTAACGTTCCCAAGGGAATTCTGTTTGATTCATTCCATTTGTTCCTCCTTGGTTATATTCAAGAGAAATTGTGAATCCATTGTTTGGAGGAGTTGAGGCTCAATCTCTGAGCTATATAGAAACATTTGGTGGGATGGTGGTCCTGAGAAATGAGAAACTGTGGATGTCTGAAGGGTGGAATGCATTGCACAATCCACCCAAAGCCTCTGTCGCTGACAGGTTGAACACTTGGTGTTTAGGGCCAGTCCTGCTGCCAGAGAGGAGCTGTGTCACCCTCACCATCACCTCTGGACACTGCAGTGTCCCTTTAGTGTCCTGTCACCCTTCCCAAATGCCACGTGCGTTCCCAGGGGACGTTGCCAAGCTCTGCATTGCACAGTTCTGTCTGTGTAAGAACATAGCAAACATTTTTATTTTTTTTTGTTTGGAGACAAAGGGGAAGAGGGAAAAACCATAGTGACATAACTTTGTGCTGTGTATGCAGTCACAGTGTTCTTCCCAGCACTGGTGTCATTTATCTGCCAGCATCCAGCCAGAACTTGGTGGATTTGGGAGCTTCTCCCACCAGTTTCCATGGTGGGAGGTGGAGATTGCTCTGTGCTGTAAAGGGCACCATTGACTTCTGCATTTGCTGTTTCTTTTGTGGTTTTTTACCTTCCTGTTTCAGAGAGCCTGAGATGAAATCAGCTTAGTGCAATCCCAAGACTATGGGACATAGCAAATCTATGTCTGTATAGTGACTGTCACTTTCCCTTTTCCTGGTTTGACAGTGGATGGTTTTGGCTGATTCCCAGAGCACAGGGACAGACCTCCCAGTTCTGGCTGTGCTGTGTAAAAAGGCCTGGGCAGGTGGGTGAGTGAGTTTGGAACTGGATCTGCTGCCCACACATCCATGGAGGCTGTGGCTTCACCTTGTTTGCTTTCCCTTGAGGGGAAGGAGAGGGAGTAGCAGACAACCAGGCTGCTGTGAGGGGAAAAGCACAGAAAGGCTGCAGAGGGTTGTGGGAAACTGCTTAGTGCAGAGGGGCTGCAGCTAAAACTCATCATGGGTTGATTTAATTGATCTCACTGATTAACTTACTGCTGCTGCAGGGAAGATGATGCTTTGGTGCTGGTAGTTCTTATTTTCTTTCAAAGCCTGTAACACTCACTTGCCTTTGATTATATTTGTTTTCTTCAGAGCAGGTAATCCTGGTGTGATCTTTCAGATGCAGAAGATCAAAGTGAAAAAGCAATTGAGGAGATTATTAGTGAGAGCCTTGTTCTGTTTTTTTTTTTTTTTTAAGATTTAGAAACTAGTTTTTAATGAACGTGTTTATTTGCAAGAACTGAGCTATGTACACTTACTGTCTGTTGCTGCTGATGAAATATTTTCCTATTCAGGCAAGTATTTTCCTGTTCAGGTTATGGTTACAGGTGAAAAGCCACCATTAATACCCATTGTGAGAACACAAGCTCTGGGCTATTGTGTGGAGGCTGTTCTTTCACCTACTCCTATCACAGCTTAAGGTTTCTTTTGGAAAATACATTCCTCGATTAAGAATCCCTTCTGAGCCTCGGTGTCCTGCACAGTCGGAGCTCCAGCTGTGGCTTTATCCTGCTGTCATGCTCAGTTGATCAGAGTAGGATGAACACTGAAGAAATGGGATGATTCGGTAAAGCTCCTGTCTGTCTGATGTCAGCTTTGCAAGCCAGAGGATGTCACTTTGAAAATGTATCACAACTTAAATATCCTCACTCCTCAGAATTCATGGTGCTCCACAGTAATTGCTGTGCCTGTGTAGTGCCCCTTCCAACAGCCCTCCAGCACTGTGGCTGTGAGGGACCACCAGTGTGGCAGTGATGGGGTGTTGCAAAATTTGTTTAACCACCCTGGAAATCTCTTTTTAGAATGTGTTCAGTCCATAATTTTTGCTTGTTTGCTAACGATGGTAATTGTAAAATGACCCATTCACTTGGCAGTTGGCACCGCTACCCACATTCTTGGGCACTGAACTTAATCCTTGATCTCTGTTACAAGGTAACCAGGCTGTTTGGCTCCTGCACAGAAGCAGATTTCTTTCACACCTTCATTTTATTTTTTTACAATCAAATGTTTGTTTCTGCAGGGATAAGTCAGTAGAAGATGAAGTCAGGTCAGGTCACTGATGAAATCAGGAGGTCTCTATGTGTGTGTGTGATTTCTACACCACATCCCCAGGTGCCTAATGCGTCACCAAGATGCAGGAGTACCAAGTCTGGTGTTCTTTTGGGGAATAAAATATAAAATTAAACACGGGGCTGTGATATGTTTAGGAATAACAAAAGTGTGTCACTTGCTCTGAGCTTATGCACTACCAATTTTAAACTGGTAGAAAAAATATCTTGCCATAAGACTCCATTCCAAAGCCAAGTAAAAGTAAAAGTAGCCAAGGCCTACTTTTACAAGGCTGTTCTGTAAGGGAAATCCAGCAGTGTAACAGGTTTCCATGTACTCGTAACCTGAGCAAGAAAAATCTGTTTGTTTTCTCTTTGAGTGAAGCATTGTCCTTGTCTTGTTCTGTGTTATTTAGCTTGGTGTTGAGGAAACCCAAGAGCAGCCAGAGCTTCCCTTGTGCTGGTCCCAGTGCCCACATCTCAGTTCAGGCACCCCTGGCAGCCACATCCATGGCAGTGGCACCAGCCTGGCTCTGCTCAGACCCCTGCTTTGCCTTTTTCCTTAGAGCTGCTGCATTTTAATGCTTTCTTCCTTGTTCCTTCCAGGGATTTTACCAATCCCTATGTCTTCGAGCAAGAGGGACACAGTAGCCCATTGCTCAGAACTCTACTTTTAACTTGAGACAAGGATTAATGACTTGGACTGTGTGAAGTTAATCCTTTAAATGTGTTAACTCCAAACAAATTAGTTCCCTGCTCCAGCCCACAGTATAATTAGGCTTCTGATAAACTCAGAGCACTTGTAATTGAAATAGTCCTAAAGCAGAAAAACCTTTTGTGGCATTCGATGATCGCACATCAATCAATGCATCAGCAGTAGAATTCAGCCATTCCTGCTGATGCTGCCTGCAGAGGGAGGATCCTCTCATATGCGCAAGGTAACTCACCATCACAATTCCATATCTGTTCCCTGGCAGGGTCAGGATGGCCACCTCAACCCTGGAGAACCAGCTGCAGAGTGCCCAGAAGAACCTGCTGTTCCTGCAGCGGGAACACGCCAACACCCTGAAGGGGCTGCACGCGGAGCTGCGCCGCCTGCAGCAGCGCTGCACAGGTACCCATTCCTCACAGTGACTGCTTCCCACTTGTGAAACCTCAGCAGGGTGGATTTAGGGTCCTCAGTTTGTATCTCGTGGCAAACTGGTTGATCAAAGCCAAGTTTTTTCATTTGTTCTTTAAAAAGCTGATAGTTCAGTTGTTTTACATATTTGCTAATTTGCAGAGAATCTCCTATTCTTGCTTTGGGCAGTGGGAAGAGTTAATTCTGTATTTATTGAAAGCTGTCATTGTAAATTTGCTTGCCAGGTGATGTCTGGCTTCCATGATGATTTTCTAACAAAAATAAACAACTTTTTTCCTCAGATTTAACCTATGAGCTGACTGTAAAGAGTTCAGACTTGTCAGGTAAGGAATACATGGCATTTTTCTTTTTATGTTCAATTTGCTAATCTTTTTCAATGTTTGTATTTTCTTTTCTACTCTGCAGACTTAGTTATTTATGAAGTAAATAAATCAAAAATTCTTTCCCAAGGTCACACGGGAAATCCGCAAAAGAGCCAGGAATAGCACCTGGAACTGCTGACTCCACTAGACAGTCGGTTCCCTGCTTGCTATGTGGGAACACAGGACACAAATTATAGGGACAGAAGAGTGAGACTATTTTTAAAACTAAGCTGAGTTGGTGCTGTAATTAACCACAAAGCTTTTATTTAAATATATATGTGTGTATGTGTGATGCTAATGCCCTATTGCACTGTTTTACCTAATGGCTGTTGTTAACTTGAAATATTTCTACTTCTGTTCTTCCAGAAAGTGGTGGCACACGAAGTGATGAACTCAAAAGTAAGTGTAAAGATCTTGAAGCTCAGTTGAAAATCAAAGAAGCTGAAAATAGTGAATTGTTGAAAGAACTTGAACAAAAGAACGCGATGATAATGGTGCTGGAAAACACTATTAAAGAAAGAGAAAAGAAGTATTTGGAAGAGTTAAAAATGAAAAGCCATAAGCTCAATATGTTGTCCAGTGAACTGGAGCAGAGAGCGAGCACGATTGCCTATCTGACCTCTCAGCTGCACGCGGCCAAGAAGAAGCTGATGAGTGCCAGCGGGACTTCGGAGGGGACCCCGTCTGGCAGCCCCGTGCTGTCCAGCTACAAACCCTCCCCTCCCAAGGACAAACTGCCGGAGACGCCGCGGCGCAGGATGAAGAAGAGCCTGTCCACACCGCTGAACCCCGAGTTCGAAGAGGCCTACAGAATAGGGTCGGAGAGCCGGAAGCTGGTGCTGCGAGAGCCTGTGGATGCCATGCCCGATCCCACGCCCTTTCTGCTGGCCAGGGAAACGGCAGAGGTGCATCTGATCAAGGAGAGGCCGTTGGTCATTCCGCCGATCCCTTCGGATCGCGCGCCCGGCGAATCGCACAGCCCCGCGCGCGAGAAGCCGCACAAGGCGCACATCGGGGTGGCTCACCGCATCCACCACGCCGCGCCCGCCCAGCCGCCGCAGGAGGTGGAGACCCTGGCTGTGGATCAGGTCCATGGAAGCAAAGTGGTCAGAAAGCACTCGGGGACAGACAGAACTGTCTGAGTACACCACGGAAGTGCTGTTCTGTGCTGGTTATGCACTGTGAGCCTGTAGGGTAAATAGCACCTGCGGTGAAGTTTCTTTTGATGCCCCATGCATGCCAAACTCCTCCCGGGTACATCATTAATACATTTTGCTCTAATGAAACCTCCTAGGACTGTGTTCATATGGCAAGGTATATAACCACTCCATGCTGTGGCCAAATCAGGGGGACCTGACCGCTTGCTTCCAAGTGCTGCTCCATTTAGTGAAACTGCAGGTGTGGACAAAGGCTGTGTTAGTGAGCGCTCTCAGAGGGAGCACCCCTCCCTCACACTGCAGCCACACGTGTTGGCTGGTAATGTTTGACCTGGCAGGGGCTCTCTTGTCTCTACTGTGTGTGTGAGCACTCCAGAGCCATCACTAACCCCTGGCAGCAGCACTGAAAGTTGGGCACGTGTATGTTCACTTCAATGACCTAAGGACGTCCCCAGAGTCCTTGCAAGCACTACTTGATTAATTCTAAATACTTTGGTTTGTGGCTTTAAGTAAAATATGGGTGGGGGAAGCACCATTTAAAGGGTTAACGACCCTTGTAGGAAGAGTATGAACACTGGGTTGTTTGTGGGGATTGTTTTGGGTTTTTTTTAATCAAATGGCTTCACGACACATTTTATGCTAGTCAGTACACTGCACTTGTAGCACCTTCCATACTGGCTCAGAGCTCCTTTTCCAGGGAGGAAATGTAACTGGCTATCCAATATGGAAATGATTCTTTATGCTCTAATCTGCACTTTTTTTGTAAAGGGATTATTTTTGTTTCCTAAAAACCGTAGTCTTGTTCTGGGCATCATCAGACAGTGCTGGATGCTGCCAGCCTAGAAGCCTGAGCTGCCCTTCTAAAATGTGAGTATTTAGTTTTAAGTGATGTAATCAATTCATACAGGAGAACCTGGCATCCTTGATTTCTGTCCTTGTGGATTAGGATGGACTTGCCTTGCACTTGACCAGATTCCCCTATTCCTTTGTAATAAGTAGCAGGTAGACCCAACAGCTGTTAGAGTACTTGATTCTTTTTTTATGTTTTTTTTCTAGGGAAGAAAGGCATATTAGGAGCTGGGAGGGTATGTAGTTTTGGGATAGGAGCACGAGTTCATCCATTTTTCTTACATTCTGTTCACCTCTGCTTCACTCTTGTCTGCAGCCTCGTGAGTAGGACCAGCAAGAAACACTGGCTCCCAAATGCTGCTAAGCTTATGATGTGCCTTTAAAAATTTGGAACGTGTATTCTCTGTGACAGCTGATGAAGGATCCCTGCCTGCCCTGTCCCCTCCCCTCGCCAGCTGTAGTTTGCCCCTCGTAAGCTTTTTCTGCAGCTGTGTTGGTGTGTGTCTCCCTCCGGAGCCTTGGACCAGCGTCCCCGGCAAAGGCCCTGGCAGGCTGGCAGAGCTGTTCTCCCGCCTGTGGTCCCGCTCGATTCCCGCAGCATGCCCCTTCCAGCAGGGCTGATCCTGGCTGAGGCTCTGCCCTCTGCGCCCTCTGGCACTCGCTGTCCCAAAGTCCCAGACTGCCTCAGCCTCGCGCCTTGCTGGCTCTGTGGTAGGAATTTGTTTCACAAGTGGTAGGGAGGGATAGGGAAAAGCTGTGCTCCCAAAAGGGGTTGGTTAAAGCAAGGTTGTTACTCTGAGGTTTACTGTTTTTATGTGTGTTGCATTAACCAGCAGCTGGTTCGGTTACTTTGGTTGTTGGCACCATGTTTTTATGGTCATGTGTTGTATGAGTGACCTACCCTGCCACTTGCTGGGGGCTGGTGGGAGGCACCGCTTCCAGGCAGCGCAGAAGTGATGCTTTGGGCAATTAAAGACATTTCTTACAACCATCCAGGCAAACCTTAGTCTTTGTGTGTGTGAGACCAACTTAACTCTCTCTTTGCAGCCACAGACCTGCTTGGAGCCGTTCCAAAAGGAAACACAAATTACAAAATCCACTCTATTCTTCAAATGTGTTTATTTGGAATAAAATACAACCAAACTAATCCTAACTAAAGTCAGGTGTGCCTACGTGAACACAACCCCACCCATGGTGCCGAACCTCTGCCTCGGTTGAGGTGTTTTTCCCTGCACCTCTGAAGGATTGTATTCTGGGGGAAGAACATGGTGCCTATTTTTGACTCTCATTCAGCATTCAGGGTGAGACACACACCTTGGAGGACCCAGTGGGAAATGTGCTTTGTTGTGTAAAGGTCAGCTTCAAAGACAAGGCCGAAGCCCATGGCATTGCGGCGCATGGAGGTCGTGTACACCGGGGTCCGGAGCGTGTTCTGAAAGAGCACGGAGGCAGCACGGACACTGAGCAGTGCCTGAGCTGCTACATGGAACTGCAAACAACAAGGGCCTCAAGGAGAGAGGACTGGCTTCAGAAGTTCACTTTTTTTTTTAAGAGGTCTTAAATAGCCAATACCCAGAAAATGTAAATGTCCTTTATGTCATTTACTGGGGATGGGAAATAATTGAAAGAGCAGGGGATGTGTAAGGGTGTCACAAGATCCCTGTCCCAGAGTGCCTGAAGGGAAAAGAGGCACCAAATGCATCAACCCCCTTAGAAGAAAAAAACTGTAGTGATGGGTAGTGTAAGGAGAAGTGTTAAACCAGGTGCTTCATTTGTGAGTGGTAATGATAAAACACAAGGCAGGGCCTGGCAGCTGAGGAGATGTGACAGTGGAAGGAAGGGAATTGAGGAGCCATACCTGGAGTCTGAGCCTGTGTGCTTCTATGGGAATGATCCTCAGGATGGGCAGCTCCACCACTGGGACACGGGGCTTGCTCTGGGTAAGGCAGCCCTGCTCTATGTCCCAGTCTGCTCCTTCCAGGAACAGACCAGAAACGTAACAGCCTGTGAAGGCAGAAAATGCAACATTTGGGTAAACTGAGCTGCTAGAGAAGATCTAGAAGATCTTTTAAGATAACTGTTCCTGCAGTCCCTGGGCACTACAGTCATCACAAACACAATTTCAGACTGCAGCTGCACAGGGTGCAGTTTTCTGACAGCTTTGTTTTTATCATCCAGCTGTATTAGGAAATCAAATTAAAGTCTCTGTTGTGCTACACGTGATAAACAGTAGCAGGAATAAATGTGATTTGCTGCCCTCCAATTGCCCAAGTGACAGAGAGCATTGTAACTCCCCTGGGCCTGATCACTGGGTCACTGAGAGCAGATGAAGGGTCTGGACAGTTGTTCTGGTACAAATTCCAAGTACGGCATTTAGATTTAACAAAAAAAAAAAGAAGGATACTTTTTTCCTCCTCTGTTCCCAATCAGAGCTGGTACTCAGAACCTTGCTCAGCTGTTCCCTGTACCCAGCTTGTTTTATTTAGTTATTAGAGCAGTGCTAGTCATAGAGAGCTCCTAAAGACATATTTACATTATAAATTATACATGTTTGTAGGTACTTTTTTCTTAAGTACATTTCAATGAATTATTTGTGATGTAAATAGATTTTTACAAGCTTGCTGGGATTGGTAATGTTCTAGGCATAAAGAAATCAGTGTGTCTTTATATACATACATATATTTATATACATACATACATATATATATATATATATACACATATATATAGGGAGCAAGCAAGGGGGAGGTGTAAGTTCAAATCCCTGCCTGTGGGTGGGAAGAGCATGCTCCATGCACACAGGAGCTCTGCAGGGACCAGAACCCAGCTACTTCCCAGCTGGAAATCATGAGGACTGTGAAATGCAAATCCAGGGCAAATGGCTGCCAAGGTTTAACCAAAGTAATTTAGTGTGCCAAGCAATTTCTTTCTCTCACCCTCTCTCTGCTTTATTATTTTTGCTAAGCAATTATGAAAACACCTACCCTGAGCAGATGCTTCAGTGATATCTTCTGCTTTCCTGTACTTGGTTACCTCTGTGTAGAGGGTGGAGTGATCCAGGGGCCACCTGTTTTTCCTGCAGGTGGCTTGAACAAGAGCGGTCAGGTAGGACTCAGGAATGTGCAGGCCCGACAGCCACATCACCTCAGGCTCACCCTCGTTGACCTGCAGCCACAGACAGCGATGGGCAGCACCTGGTACTCGCCTTACACTGCCCTTAGTGAGGAGCTGGGGTGAGTCTGCCTTGCATCCACAGTTATGCAACAATGGCACTGGTTCCAGAACTTACCTGGAGTGTTCACTGGTTTCTGCACCAGCCTGCACAGCACATTGGGCAGGTTAACAAAACAAAAGGCTGTCTGGAGGCGCTTGCTTACCCAGCTGGTGTACTGGTCATATCGATCTCTAAAGAAAATAATCCAATTTCCAAGTGTTTTGAGGGTGTCAGGGGCCAGCCGCCGCCAGATCCCAGGAATCTGCCCATTGAAGAGAGCCTGAGCCACGTCATCCAATTCACTGCTCATTCCAACTTCCCCAGCCAAGGCCTGGAACAATGGTAAGAGTTGTGAGGGCAGGCAAAGCCCAGCTGCTCCCTTCGAGTTGCTGTGATTTTACTTACACGTTGTAGCTCAGCCAACGACTTTCCCATTCGAACGATGAGCTTATTAAAGCGTTCCAGTTCCTGCAACAGCACCACAGTTGTAGGGGAGATGTTTACTCCAAAGCCTTTACGTATGTGGTCAAGATCAAATACTTGAGGTAATTTGTGTTCTATATCCTTGGCAACATTTGCAATATATTCATCTCGACTAATTCCTGCACCAGTTTCACCTGAAACCAAAAAATGTTAGTGAGACTAAATCCATATTAAATCTTCTGAGAGCAGGTTGAGAGCTGAGTCACCTTTTGGCATCAGTCTCCCCCCTCTTCTGCTGTGCCATTTTCCCACAGCCCTGCACGTCCCCAGCTGTGCCTTTGGGCAGGTGTTGAGCTGCTCCCAGCCTGGCAGGGCTGAGCTCCCTCTGCTCCCCGAGGCCAGGACACAGCCCCCAGCTCACCCCCCACACACAGGGGCTGCTGTCACTGTCCCCAGGGCTCAGCACTCGCCACTGGAGATTTCCTGTTCACAAAGCCAG